TTTTGTTGTATATGTTAAAGTGGTTTGCACATTTGGACTCATTTTTGGAACAACCTATCACTTATATTTTGTCTATTTTTCTAAGATTTTATGTGTAATCTTAAATCAATCAATTTATATTCTCTAGGGTTCTATTTTATATAAATCTTTACAAATGGATGTTGTTACGACTCTACTTTCTAGACCATTGGTGATTAGTTTTCTTATTGAAATGGACATTAATATTTTTCTAGAAAAGGTTTGGATTGGCTACTTATAATTTGATATAATGTAAATTTTGTAAAATAGTTTGGCATAACAACTTTGAATGTCTCAAAGCTATCGTCAAACTAATCAAATGAAACATCCTGGTACAAAAGGTGTGTACATATGATCAAATTCTACATTCATATGATGTTAAAGCTCTTTTTAGTTTAGATCAGGCGTATGCATAAACCTAGCTACTCTAGATCTTATCATTTAATAATCACCTTCATAACTTGCCCCTACTACTATAAGCCCTAAAAATTTTGTATGCTCCACATCAGCATGCATAAACAGATCATAATCCTTCTAACATGTTAACTCCTTATCCTCCTATTAATTAGGACATCATTGAACCTGTTTCTAAGCAAACATACTATTCTCATCAATGACTTCCAATCATGGACATCTAGGTTGATAGAAGGTTCCAAATCTCAGGTGCAATAGGAAAGGAATAAATTTTATTATCACTCTGTAATGTTCACTAAGCTTTAAGCAAGGTATTATAAAAAAGAGTTATTTGGTTTTTTCTCATTAATGGATACGAACTAGGATTCAAAATTGGTCCTAATGAAAAATTTTACTGAGTGAACCGAATGGGTTTGAATTTTGACCAGATACACCAATAGTTAACCCTATTTTCAATCCAAAATATTTAAGCTTATAGGGGTACTGCTACGTGTTATTGTTTTAACCGAATGTAGCTTGCATCCCAAAGCTTTATAAGCCTTAACAATCTCCCTCTCTTATGTTAGTTCTCTACACAATGTCACTTCACCTCAAACGAAAATATTATCATGTACCATGCACCAAGAGGCTACTCAACCATTTAAAGGATTCATATAGTTCTCAACCATGATAAAAATTGACACAATTTTCCTTAGATCATAAATCAAATGAATCAATTACATTAGCCGAATCATCAGTTCCGATGCCATTTACTAGTAAGTTTAAGGAAATCAAAGTTAGGCAAGATATATCAGTGATAAAACCTATTTTTATTAAAGCTTAACACTATTGTTGAAGGCCAACATACAACAACATATTTTTTAACTACTTGGTATGAGACTAAAATAATAAAGAAGTTTCAAACCTGTATGGAAGTCGTGATCATTCCTCAAGTCCATTATTGTTTTCATTTCCTATGAAATTTAGTCTATTTTGAGCCCCAAAAATAAGGTTAATATGTGCAAGCTTTTCACCATATCTTTGAAAATCACCAGGATTACTGTTTATCCCATATGAATGTAGTTGTCAAGTTGGATAATATGCATTACAAGAAATTACATTACTTCCATCTATAAGGAATTTTTGCTTAGGGTAGAGACTTACAGAAAACATATTTTGGCAATTTTTTTAAGAACAAGAAAGGTGCATTTTACTTAATATACAATAAATACTAATAAATATTTGAAAGAACTTCTCTCCACCAACCTACCCCTTGTGGAAAAAATATATATATATTTATTTGAAAAATCAGATTGGTTTTATATCATACTACTCATAATATCCCTCTCTCCTTTACAGCTGCATTTATCTTTTGTTTGAGCATTTATAATTGGCATTCACTCCAACACTTGGTATCCCGCCTTCTTCGTATAATAATTACAATTTTTTGGAAACTGTTATGCTATTTGAAGTTCTTTTGGTAAATGGACTCCTTTAAATGCAGAAATATCGCATGTACTTAAGTAGAATACAGAAGCAGAATGAAGTTGGAGATTTAGCTGGCAATATGCAACCTGATCACTCTTCAGAGAATCATTCAGAGAGCGTTGGCTGTCAGAACTCTAGAACTATCCATGAAAATAGTGGAGCTAATAGCTATGGGCAGAAAACTCAAAATTTCCATGGGCAGGATATAATCCAGGGTTTTCAAGAAAGTGAACTAAACAAAGCAGACTTACTTCCAGTAAAGCTTAAGAAAGAAGATGTAACAACAGATGTTCACTTTCAAAAGCCGAAAAATGCTTCTCAGCCAGAGCAAATGCTGCCACACAGTGATCAGAAACAGGACTACGCCTCAATTTCAAAGCGGAATGGATGGCATGGAAGTGTTCTATTAAGGCAATTCATGCAATACCCTAAACATGATGAGCCATTTAGCTTCTTGGAACACAATTCCTACTCTTCACAAACTCAAGTGCCTCAGATTCCTCTTTGGCAATTGCAATGTCCATCTCTTGTCTCAGTCAATAGTAGCATTAAAAAAGATGAAACTAAATTTGATGTAAAACCTTCGATCGCAAATTGCAATGGCCATCTCATGAAAATTTTATCAAAAGCGGTGTATGAAGATGATCAACATTCAATTCAGGTGGAACATGCTAATTCTAAAGAATTTGAAGCAGCATATGAACATAAAAAATTAATCAGTTTAATGGAGCACCACTATGAGCAATCTAGAGTCCATGATTTGATTCCTCCTTCAATACATCTAGATACAAAAAATGAAGCAAGTTTGATTACATCATCTGAAGACTTGAACCATCATTCCCTTCATGGCTTTGGTTTCCTAGATAATGTTGGTTTCAATGGTATGGAGTTACACCAGCTTAATGGTTGTGCATCACTCACTGAACTACAGAGTAATTGTTATGATGAGATAGAATTTAATTATGAGTACTGGTACGATCCCTTGGACTACCTTTTGCTAGATGAGGGCCTTTTTGCGTAATAGTTCAGTGCTTCATCCTTAATGGTTTTTGTTTGAGAAATTAATGTATGGAACAACTAGTATCTTTCAGTCTGCCTCAAATTTCATGGACTGATATTTCTAACTGTTGTTTGTTTTTGGTATGATAGCTCGGATTAAATATTATTGAAGGTGTCTCTGTAAAAGTATGAAATATTCCTCTCAAAAATGTTATTAATGGTTTTTCTGCAATTGTAAATGATTGATCTTGCCTTTTACATTTTGCATGGGGTTTTCTAAACTTGTCAAGGGAGCTTCTTGTTGCTTTTGCTAGTAAGTTGATGCCTGATTGTGCACATTTTTTTGTGTACAATCTTACTCTACATAATAAATTCATGAAGGATGTATGTACTTTTATTTACATGTATTCTTGATTTTATATGTTGCCATCTTCTAATTTGCTTTTTTGATCAGCTTTTTTATTGGTTTTATAGGCCCATTCCCAATGATTTCCCACTTTGGATTTCCATTTAAAAATTTATGTTTTCTGTGCTATTCTTTTTTTTATATGTACAAAATCTTCATGCAAAGCTAAAATGTAATCTTTACCGACATTGACTTGGTGTCATATTTATGAAATTAAATGTTTAATGATGGTTTTAAATCTCTATCCATAAGCACTTTTAACCCCAATATCATTAATTAAATTAAAAAGAAATTATGAGCAAATTTTACAATGGTATGATTAACTTTAATCAAATTTGTAATGTAAGATAATTTAGTAATTTGAATGATGCCCTATAGAAAACCCCATCTATGCCAACAAGTTTATTCTTAGTGTTTTACTTTTTTTCATAGTGTCACGGAAGTGCTACATTGTTTTTGGACTGACATTCTTTTTGGACTGAATAGTGTGAGCTAGCTAACAGCTGAAGAATCTTCTAACTTTTCCTACATTTTTTTCTTAGTTCCAAAGTTTGGAGAAGACTTATTTCTTTACCTTGAAGTAAGCAAGGAAACCGTTAGTTAAAATGCTTATTCAGGAAGAGAACATAAAATTGTTTACGACCTATCATGAAGAAACACACAAAGGATTTGTTCATTTTAGTTTTGAAATCTTTGCCCCCTACTTTCAAACAAATTTTGCAAGTGATCACTTATCGTCTGCTAAAATTTGTACTCACATGACCAGATCATTCAGACCGATTACTCAAATGTATAGTCAGTCTCCAAAAATTTAATATTATATAGTTGTCATGAATTGTAATTAAAGCATAAGCTTTACTTGAATTTCTTGCAAACTTTTTTGAAATTGGCGTTAAGGAATAGTTGAGTAAAAAAAACAATGTTTTGTATCCTTATTTAAAAAATGACACAATGTAATTTCTAGTGTCACATTGTAAGTACAATAAAGATAATTCAAGAAAGTGTGAACAATTTCAAAATTTTTCATTAATGCAACTACAGTTATCACATAAGCTATTGTTAATTATCAGTTATTGGCCTTTTGTATTTTTGCGTATGGATCACTCTGGTGCATTTCCCCTTGCATAAAACAATTCATACTATGTATGATCAAATAATTTTCAAAATTGATTTAGGCAAAGGTCGGAACAACATTTGTGTGAAATTTCAACTTGATGAACAACATTTATAGATATGGGTTATTCATAGATAACGTCACAAACAATGGTTCATAATTTGTTAATTAGAAGTATGAAAAATTTATCAAAACCAGGGAATTTCTTTGAATTTTATGCAATTAATACCCAAAGACAAGTGGTCAAGTTGAATCAGTGAAAAAGAAAAATAAAGGGTTTCTAAGGAGGAGGATGGTTTTTTGGAGTGATTCTCTGGTTCTCCTAGTTTGATCCTCCGAAATCATCTAGATTTGTGCTCGTGGTTCTTTGAGATGGCTGATTTCCTTAATTGGCCCTCTTTCCTTGAGGCAGTAATGGGTAACACTTCTTCTTCTAAACTTCCTTGTAATAATTGTTTTTTTTCTGGTTGCCTTTAAAGAGCATTTGGAGGATGAGAAAACTAATGGTTTGATGAAGAAGGCTATGAAGAAAAACAGGAAACCCACATTATTTCTTAGTGAAGAGGAGACTTCAATTCTTACTGAACCTCTTAAGTTTACCTATTGAAATGGAATATGATCCTCTTTAATGTAACAAATATCCTATGTTTGTTCGTTGTTTATTCAATTGCTTCGTTGCTCATCCTAATCTGAAATCTAATAACTATAATGCTAAGGAAAAAGAAGATGCTCATGGAAGGAATTTAAACTAAATCAAGATTTAAATAAGGAGGGTTTAGAGAATGATTTACCAAATGAAAA